TAGCAAATAACCTGCCTAACACCCTCAACTTATGCATGGGAAAATCAAAGACCAGTAAGGTTAAATGATTTGACAAAAGTACACAGATAATTAATGGTAGGACTGAGGTCAAATCCAATGTTGAACAGTAACCTTTGAAGGAATCCATCTTGATTAATTTTCTACACTGCTAAATGAATTGACACAATACATGTTTGATTTGTGAATCAGTCTATTGTTTTGAAACAAAAGAGACCTTTTAATGTTTTAAATTGCCATTTTTTCTATCATACCATTGTTTAATTGAAAAATTGACTACTCTGTTGGTTGAGGAAAGCTGACTTTTCTCTGTATGCCAGCAGAGGTGAGACTCCTTAGCTTTAGTCCCAGTGAAATAGTAACTCAAATAGACAAAAGAAAATGAATAAAGACAGAAGGAGGGCAAGCTCTTCAACATAAGGTCTGGGATACTTCCTCCTTTGCACTCTAATATATAACATCTCCTCCTCTATCTCTTGCTCAGAGGGGCTTCTGATGCTGACAAGACTACGGGGGCAGCTAACCAGTTTTCTCATTTTATTTCTTCCCTAGGATCAATCAATAAGTCTTTAACATCACTGCAATATAAAACTAGTGACTCAAAACCCCTTGGGAGTTTGTAATTATGTCTTTATTTGTGTGATCATTCCATTAACATCTATTGATCCCACCAGAAGGGAACTTCCCTGAAGGCAGGGGATGCCTCTTCTCAGTATTATATCTCCATCTCCTAACACAGGAGCCTGGAAAACTCAAATTCCTAATAAATACTATTGAATGGGTATATCACTGTTATCAAAGTGTGGTGCCCAGACCAGCAGTATCAGGATCACCCAGACACACGTTAGCAATATAAACTCTTGGACCCCACTCCAATAGGACCCCACTCCTATCTGATCTGAAACTCTGGAGTTGGAGCCCAGCAATCTGTGTTTTAATCTCCCCCCAGATGATTCGAATATATGTTCACATTTGAGTATCACTGTAATCAATAAAGGAATGTCACTTATCTAGCCACAGGTTTCTGCTTGCTGGCCAGCTATATGTTCCCAGAGCTCTGTTGAGTCCTTCCCTGAAAGCACAGTTGATCACAAATTATGGGTGGCGACACAGGCCTGGCAGGAAAACAGTGTTCAAAGATGGCAAATTGCTATCTGGATATCGGGAAACAACACATTGATCCAGTTTGTATGTGTTATATTCTATTCAATTATATCCTTTTCTATAAAATCTAATAAATCCTCTCTTTTGAGACAATTAAGTTAATTTCTTATTTCTTGCAACCAAAAGAGGAATTTTTCCATACTGCTTAGGAGAGAGTGATAACCTAGACACCAGGGCTGGTACTCAAACCCCTAGGTCCCAGACACATAGATTTTATCCTCTCAGGAAAGCATGCTTTAGACATAACCAACGAACAGAGCTGGACTTTAGCTTCCAGATAATCCCACTGAGACAATTTAGAAAGAAAGGCTTGATTTTCCTTAAGTCCTTGGGCTATCATGGTAAATATTCATTCACACCCAAGCTAGAACCTAACATCTTCTCTTGCAGTAAATAAGTCAAGTTCAACTGGAAGATATTGTCATTGGTCTTGATCCCTTTAGCAGGCTCATTAACACCGACTAGGAAGCCTGTTAGTGTAGGAACCTTCTTGCCTCTGCAACTAGATAATGCGCCCACTATGTTCCTGACCACTTGCTGATTAGGGTGTGTTTTCTCCTGGTTTTTCAGCAACTGATTTTAATGAGTTTTGGTGAATTGTTAAAAGGTGTGTAGTATGTTTCTGGGGATTTCTTCTCCCCACTGCATTGAAAGTTTCAAAATAATTTGGCTTGAGATAGAAAGGTTAACATCCTTGCAAGAGGGTTTAGTAATATATTAATAATAAATGTGTACATTAGAATTAACTTGTCAAATCAAAAACTTTAAAAGAAAATCCACAATGAACATGTATCAAATGTTTCAATTGTGTTTACTGGGGAGAATACTGGCGAAGGAAATAGATTCCACTATTTCTGCGTGGGCTAATAATCTCTGTATGTTCCTTTTTTACTTTCTGCCTCACTCTTCTGGCAGAATCAATCAGGAAGAGAAAATAAATCACATTTCTTTTGGTTCTATGTTTTACCCCTTTCAGTACTACATTTCATCTTATATGGAACCTGAAAGTCTCTCGAAAAGGATAACATTTGTTTACTTAATGATCATTTCTAAAATTTAACTTTGAATATGCCTAAAATCATTCACACACAAGCAAAGGTATACCAAATCCCAGGTGTCTTAAAGTTAATTGTTTTTTGACAGTTTTAGAAATTCCATTTCATGTTTCGGATTAGGTCAGCATAAAGTCATAGATACTTTGATAATACAGGAGCAAACAAATATATATAGGCAACAATTTCATGACTTAAGAAAGCAAACACTTGGTGAACTGCTTTCAAACTATGTCAAGAAAAAGAGTGTTCTGTTTGCATTATTGCAAAGTTTTGGATCAAACTTTTGTGCTTGATCTTCATTGAGAGCAAATCTGCTGATCTGGGCTTTCAAGTGCATCATGTGTTAACTGTGTGATTGTTCACCAGAGAGACTCTTATATACCTGACTGGGCTGGGTCTAGACACTCATTCTCGTCAGCCCCACAGTGCTTCTGACATTTCACCCTGGGTCTGATATCACAGCAGTTGGTGCTGTAGTATAAACTGAATTTTATCGTTTCAAATAACAAAGGACTAAAGTAGTGTGATGTACAAGGAATTTAAAAAGATTGATCAGATAGGGATGATAACAGACTTTTAAATTTTAAGACCAGTGTGAACCATATTACATTCCATTTATTTCTGCACTTTGCTTCCTCCATAAACAGTACTCTTTCAGGTGACAGATTTAAGGAACACCACAATCTAGCAATACATTTGAGGGCTGTGAGCAGCCGCTGCTAATCTGAAGTGGCTGGGGTAAAGCTCCAGGATATAGCAAAGACCTTAACATGAAAAGATGCAAACAGCCATGCCTCAGGTGGCAAGAGCACAGAACGACTGCCAAGCTGGCAAACATCCATAGCAGATACAAAGGTGGGACTGGAAAGCCACATTAAGAAATGTCCATTAAGAACAGGCCACCACAAAAACGTCTCCTTGCTGGTTTACTTTATGTACTCCATATGGGATTATGCACACAACAGAGTGGTCTGGCCTCCAAAATGCATCATCAAAAACATGAAAATCTTAAAGAGAAGTCTAAAATTTACCAAAGGAGTATGAAAGCCTTCTGCCACATAATATGGATGCTACTGGCAAAAGATGAATAATAGACTTTCAGTCAGGAAAGAATCAGAGAAATAAATCTAGCTCAAATTCTTTCTCTTTGGGGTTTCTAGGTAAAGGATATATTTAATCAAAAGCAGAACTTAAAATATGAAAAACATTAGATAATTCTATTATAAACATATAATAACACTTGTGAAACTAAATCTGTACACACTGCTTTGGTCTATTCATTTACAATCTCAACTGCTGAATGACCCATAGACATTATCTATGTTTTGATATAAAGAAAATAACCACTTAGTTTCCCTGTGAGATATATTATTCATCTTCAAAAGAGAAAATCAATAAAGAAAATAATTTATCCTTAGAAATGAACGCACTGAATGAATGACTCTGCATCTTAAATAGTCAGTTATTTTTACTACTTTGCAGAAAAGAATGATCTGACCAATGTAGCCCATGCTATCAAATATAGGCAAATGCACTTTAAGAAACATTCTGTTTGCTTTGGCATTTCTATTTCAACTGAAATATTTTACAGGTTCACTTTAAACTAAATTGGCTCTGAGTAGGAATTTTCTTGACTACATTTTGGGTTTCCAAAGTTATTTAACACAAAACTTGTTGCAAAAGATTGCTTCTTGATTTTGTCAAAGTATAGTGAATCTAATATGGTCTCAGTTTCATCCTGACATAACTATGGTCAAAATATTATCCATTCAATTCCTTCCCAAACTGGTAAGAACAACATTGGATTTCCTTTAATGATCTGCAAAGAAGAACAACAGGACCAAATAGCAACAGGTTAAATTGTCAGTCTGTAAGAACAGGGACCATATTTGCCTTGTGAAATTCCGTAATTCTAGACCCTAGAACACATGTGGAACATAATACAGACCCAGGAAAAAGTACTTTTTATCAATAAATGTTAAAGTAGTGTGCAAAAATACATATGGGATTTTTTCAATGTTTTAGACTCAAATATAGAATGTTATTGGATCTTAGGCAACAATGGACATTTACAGTAACTAAATCAGACAGCTGCTGGTTCTTATATATTTTGCAAGTTTGACGATGGGAGCCTTTTTGAATTGATACCATTTTTAATTTTAACCTTTGAAAGCCTAAAGAAATAGATTTTTCTAAATGAAAAATAAGACTCATCAGGAATCTGCAGAAATAAGTCTAAAGAAATATTGACAAAATAAAAGTATTCAAACCTCTACCATAAAAATATCGAAACAGCCACTTCAATAAAAAGAAGTGATTTTTATTGGTAAGAAGACAGTTAATCTTTTACATCTAGTCATTTCCACAAGGCAAAATTGGCATATATCTGATTTCAAAGCACAGCTTATAACAAGCACTTAGCACCTAACAGTTTATGAAGAGTTTCTCAGAAAATTGACTGAATAAATGATACCTATTTGGAAACAAGAATGATACCTTGTGGAAAAAAAAAAAAAATGCTGCAATAATAGCACACACACATCAGGCAGCTGCTCAGTCCATCAACTTTAACTGAGTACCTACTGTGTGTGCCCAGCCTAGAGGTCAGGTCATAAGTTCTGTACTACTGGTGTCTATGATGGTTCATCAATTATGGTGTTTACGCTACAGGGTCAACATTTTTCTGGTACTATCCAAATGAATACTGGCCTCTTTATATGATTTATTTAAGTAAGTAAAAGAGTGTGGCCAATTCAGGATTACCTCACATTTATTTAGCAGCCCTGTTTCTTGCAGCCGTGACCAGATGCTCTGTATTCGTCCAGCATGCTCAGGGTGAGTGGTGGAATTACCACAAATGCACTGGTGTTTCAGCATCAGGGGGTCGTAGGCAATTCCTTAGGACAAAAAAACAGCACAAGATTGAGTAATGATACAAGTTAGATGACAATATGATTACTCCAAAAAAGGCATTCTTCTAAAGTAAATTTACAAGTAGAGAAATAATACATATCTGCAAAGTCCCAGGAGCACATAAAAGCTATTTAGTCCTCTGTATCTGGATATATATGCAAAGAAAAGTTAACTCATGGATTAATCAGTACTCAGATCCTGGCTTAGTAAATCTGTAAAGTGATGAAGATGGTGATATTTTAAGAAACTTCAAATTAAAAAAGAAATACTGTAATTTTACCAGTATCTTAAATCATTATGAAGTATTTTCAGATGGAAAATTCAATTCAATAAAGGTTTAAATTTTACACTGAAGTCACAAAATAAGCTGATTCTTTAAATTGTGACTTTATTTCATGAGTAATTCTAGCCTCACTTTACATCAGGTTTATATCCTTGCAATAAACTGGAAGATTTTCCAACTGCTTGCCTATTCTGCTTAGCAATTCCTTCAAAGTTGTGCAAAGTTGTGCAGAAAGAATGTCTTCTTTGCTTACTGTGCTGTTCTCATAATTTGTGCCAATCTGTAAGCAAAATGGGATATTGCAGATTTTATAATATTGTGGGACATCTGAAGTGTTTCTTTTAAAAAATGAATTGCAATACCCTTAGTAGAGATTACATAGATACTTAACGAATAAAATCTGATTTTAAATTATCATGAGTTAACATATTTCATATTTCAATTAGACTCTATGATGGAAAAGATATCATAAAAACTGATGAAATAAACTATATTAGGGATACATAAAATAGGACTTTTCTTTTTCTTTTTTTCTTTTGGTGAGGAAGATTGCCCCTAAGTTAATATCTGTTGCCAATCTTCCTCCTTTTGCTTGAGGAAGATTATCACTGAGCTAACATCTGTGCCAATCTTCCTCTATTTTGTATGTGGGATGCCACCACAGCATGGCTTGATGAGCGGTGTGTAGGTCTGCATGGGATCTGAACCTGCAAACCCCAGGCTGCTGAAGTGGAGCCCATGAACTTAACCACTACACCACTGGGCTGGCCTACAATAGGACTTTTTAAAGCAACAAATTAGATGATAATTATAATTGGTTAATTTTGAAAAGATTTCCTCCCTTCACCTGATTCCTTGGGGGGAAACATGTTACTTACAAAATTGCCTGACCTAAGAAATTATTTAACCAATCAAATATTCCAATAAAATTACCATCAAAATACATCCTCTAGGGGCATGAAGTGAGGGCAGAAGAATCCATGATAAGAAATTAAAGAGCAATAATAAGTATCTATTCAAGAACAGATAAGTACCAGCAATTTACGTTGTAAAGTAAGTTTAATTAACGTATTTTATTTTCCCTTTGACCTACATTATTGTGTTAGAGGAATGTTACTCAAGAGGGGAAGAACCGCCCCCCCAACCCCAGCCACCAAAGTGGAGAGTGTGAACTTAACCACTACACCACCAGGCTGGCCCCAATATCCATTCTTAAGACTCAAATGCCTTCAAAATCCAATCCTATGCCCCAAATCACATTTTCATCATCACTGCTGATCTCTCTTCTCAGCAGTACGCTTGCACACTTGTCTATTCAACTGCCCATCCAAAATCTCCATTTGGCTGTCTAATAAAGTGAGGATGTCTCAGATTTGAGTTCACAATCTTATACCACAGAGTGTTCCTTCTTTCAGTAAAGGACATCATGATCTGCCATTTCACATGCAAGAAAGCTTAGTGTCCTCTTGATACTCTCTCTCTAATGAACCGAGAAGTAGTGCCTGTTTTCCCTCCAAAATACATCTTGAATCACTTACTTCTTATCTCCAATGCCAAACCCATACACAATCCAAGGTACTATTATCTCTAATCTAAACCCCTGAGCTAGCCTTGTAACTGGCTACCTGACTTTCACTCTATTCCATTTACCACACAGTGGTAGCTACTTTTGCTTAAATCCTTCGTCGACCTCACAGATGAGATTAAAATTTCTCAAGGCCAGCATCAATAGGCCCCTTTCCACTTCTCCAGCTTCATCTCATACACTTTCCTCCCTTGATCTCTTGTTCTCCCATAAAGGCCTACCTTCCATTCCTCAAAAGGATCAAAATCATAGCCGCTTTACAATCTCCATACTTGCAGTTCTGTCTCTGCCAAAAAATTCTTCCTTCCTGCTCCTCATTTGGCTAATTCCTCTTCATTCTTCAACGTTGTTTTAATGTCACTTCCTCAACAAAGCATTCCCTGAGATCTTTACTATATATTACATATCTGTATCTATATCTCTCTCTATATATATATTAGGTCTCTACTATATGTTCTCATAGCATTTCTAGGTCTTCTTCAGAGCGTTTACCACAATTATGTAATTGTTGTATAATCTTGTTAATTGCACATTTTCTTCACTATCTGGTAAAATATATGAAAGCACAGACTAGAGTTATATTGTTTATCACTGAACTCTTAGATCTGTAAACGTGCTTGGAATATAGTAGATCCTCGAAAGTATTTTTAATGAATGAATGAAAAACATAAATAAATGAGTGAATGCTAAAACTAGGTCAGATATCTCCATGATAAAGCCTTCCTTGATAAACCTCACTGACAGATCTCCTTTAACTCCTAAAGTTTTTGTAGCCTTACTTCTGCAGTATTTTACCTTTTATTTTATATGTCTTAATCTTCCTACTGGCAAGTGCCTCTAATACAGGCATTTATTTTACTCAGTTTCATATTTTTACATGGCATTTTGCACAAAAAGGAGATAAATAAATATTTGTAAATAAAGTCAAAAGGAAGACATAAAGGAAGGCAGAAAGGAAAGAAGGCAGTCATGAAAAGTAACATTCAAAATATAAAGATATATAAGACACGTCTTCACAATTCAGAAATATCAAGTATTTATGAGTTGCTGTTACATAAGAGGAACTATTTAACATATTTTCAACCACAGTTTCATACTACATAAAAGATATACTAATGATAACAAGGAAACAAAAAATGTACTATCTCCCTCATTTTGAAAACATATTCTTCAAAAGTAGAGATTCTAATCAAGTTGCTTAACTTTTCACTATTTCATCTCTTGACATATCTAACTTTACCTCCTTAGTAATTGTTCCTCTTTTAACAATACTTTCTCCATAAACCACTGCCAAAATATATATATATATGTGAAACAGGTTATGGTAGCTGGAAGTTATTGCCAAGTATCTGGAGATTATAATACAAAGTCCAGGAGCTCTTGGAAAGACATTGAATTTAAGGGGAAATAAATAAAGTCTGGAACCCCAAACCTCCACTTACTCATCTTAATGATGTAGCAATGAGGTGTTAACAGGTAGACTGCAAGGTGAGACTTTAACCTCATCCTTCATTTCCATTCCTTTCCTCTCTCTTTTTTTCTTTTCTTTCTTTTTTTCAAAAACAAAGACTTACAGAGTGAGAAATAAGCCCTGCTCTTCTCTTTGGGATTCATATGGAATTCTACTTTTCTTTGAGCCTTTCTGCCTCACTGGCTGTCATTTGCAACATAAACCAATGGATCAATCTCTCTCTTGATCAATGGGACAAGAGTTAAAATTGGGACTGGGGAGAATACACAAAGGAGTCTTAACATAAAGTCTTTACCTGAATTTAACCCTAGCAGTTTATTTTCTACCAAAAAGAATACTAACTCAAAAAGTTCTGATACCTTTTTTAGATAAGCTTGGACTTAGTACTTCCTCTGGCTCTCAGTTCTATTATTTTTTTTTAATTAATTAATTTATTTAATTTTTATTTTTTTCGGATGTACATCATATTTCGAATTCTGTATATGTTACCTCATGTTCACCACCCGAACACTAATTATAGTGCATCCTCTCACATGTGACCCTAATCACCCCTTTTGCCCTCCTCCCTCCCCCCTTCCCCAATGGTAACCACCAGCCCAATCTCCAATGCTACATGCTTTTTTTTTTTTTTTTGTCGTTTTTATCTTCTACTTATGAGTGAGATCATATGGTATTTGACTTTTTCCCTCTGACTTATCTCACTCAGCATAATACCCTCAAGGTCCATCCATGTTATCACAAATGGCCGGATTTCGTCATTTTTTTTATGGCTGAGTAGTAGTCCATTGTGTATAAACACCACATCTTCTTTATCCATTCATCCCTTGATGGGCACCTAAATTGCTTCCATGTCTTGGCTATTGTGTATAACGCTGCAATGAACATAGGGGTGCAAGTATCTTTATGCCTTTGTGTTTTCAAGTTCTTTGGATTAATACCCAGCAGTGGAATAGCTGGATCATATGGTAGATCTATCCTTAATTTTCTGAGGATACTCCATAGTGCTTTCCATAGTGGCTGCACCAATTTGCACTGCCACCAGCAGTGAACAAGGGTTCCCTTTTCTCCACACCCTCTCCAACATTTGTTGTTTCCTGTCTTGTTAATTATAGCCATTCTGACTGGAGTGAGGTGATACCTCATTGTAGTTTTGATTTGCATTTCCCTGATAGCTAATGATGTTGAGCATCTTTTCATATGCCTGTTGGCCATCTGTATATCTTCTTTGGAGAAATCTCTGTTCAGATCTTTTGCCCATTTTCTAATTGGATTGTTAGGTTTTTTTGTTGTTGAGTTGTATGAGTTCTTTGTATATTTTGGATATTAACCCCTTATCTGATATGTGGTTTGCAAATATCTTCTCCCAATTTTTAGGTTGTCTTTTCATTTTGTTGATGGTTTCCTTTGCTGTGCAGAAGGTTTTCAGTTTGATGTAGTCCCATTTGTTCATTTTTTCTTTTGTTTCCCTTGCCCGGTCAAATATGGGACTTGAAAATATGCTGCTCAGACCAATGTCATAGAGCATACTCCCTATGTTTTCTTCTAGAAGTCTCATGGTTTTGGGTCTTACATTCAAGTCTTTAATCCATTTTGAGTTGATTTTTCTGTATGGTGTAAGGGAATAGTCTACTTTCATTCTTTTGCA